CAACCATCTATAGTGAGATCTGGTGCCCTCTTCTGTCATACAGGCACACATGCAGGCAGAACACTGTATAAATAATAATAATAATAATAATAATAATAATAATAATAATAATAATAATAAAAAGCTTTAAAAAAAGTGAATTTTGACTGTCCACCTTGTTTGAGGCAAGTCTTTCTCATTTCTGCCTCAGGGTCCTCCTAGCTTCTCAAAGTTGTCCTGTGTCCATTATCCTTGTGGTTCCTGTGGCTTTGAACTCAGGTCCTTACATTTGTACCACAAGTGCTTTCCCCACCCAGCTGCTCCCCAACCTCCTTCTGTCTTTTTAAGGCCGGATAGTACCCACTGTGTTTGCTCACACCCTGTTTGCTATGTCCTTCCAAGCCACTTGGCCATTGTGATTTCCTCTGGACCTGGACCTGAACTGGGGTGGGTAGATCTAATAGAGTCTATTTTTAGCAGTACATAGACTAATATTAGCAACATGTCTTTTATATTAGAAAAGAGGAAAACCACTTTTCTGTGGAAGCTGAACCCTTTCTCTCCCTGGCACCTTGCCTGGGCTTCTCCATCTCCTTGCCTGGTGCCATCCCCTTCAGCCTCTGGCCAGCCTTGTGCTCTGATCACATGCCATGCCTGTAGCTGTCATTTTCTTCTCTAAGTATCATAGCAGCCACCAGATATTTTTAGCCTGGCTTTGAAAAGTGGCTGTGTACTCAGACACATACCAGACACGTGAGGTCACCAGGCACAGACAAAGCCCTGGCCTGCAGGGTCATCTGTAGCAGAAATAAAAGGCCAACCCTACAGCCTCCTTGCACCCTGCGGGCGCTGCTGCCTGGCTATCCTCAGACCTGGGCCTGGCATCATATTGAGGGTCTGCCTGGAAAGTTGTCCCCAGCAATTTAAAAATGAGCCCTGTGCCTCTTCTGGGTATGGAAGGATTTTCTAGGTCTCATCTGTTGCAAGCAGGCCGAGGCTGAGCTGCCATGGCAGCTCAGAAATGGCAGCTCTGAGAAATGGGCTGGCCCAGTTGCAGACACTTCAGTCCCACAGGGGAACAAGATGGACCATTTAATGTGCCCTTTTGTGTGCACTTACCTCAGGTCCTTTAAAAACAAACAAACAACAACAACAGGGGGCTGGAGAGATGGCTCAGAGGTTAAGAGTACTGGCTGTTCTTCCAAAGGTCCTGAGTTCAATTCCCACCCACATAGTGGCTCACAACCATCTATAATGAGGTCTGTTGCCTTCTCTGGCATGTAGGTGTATATGCAGACAGAACATTGTTTACATAGTAAATAAATAAATATTTTAAAACAAACGAAGAACAAAAAAACAGCTCTCTTTGTAGCTCTGGCTGGCCTAGAACTCATGGCAAACCTGTTTTCTGAGACTGGTATCAGTGCCATGGACCACTGTTTTAGGCCCAGACCTTTCAGGTAGAGGCTGACCGGGGGTGGCAGCACAACTGTTGCACAGCAGGGAGGAGGAGGCTGGTACTGGCCTATGTGCATGGCCTAGGCTAAAGCCCAGGTTCTTCCTGTTCCATGTGAGCTCATACCTCAGCACCCTGATTCCCTGGGACTCAGCCTAACAAAACCAGGGTTGACCTTTGGGAAAATAGAGACCAGACCCAGAAAGTTGTCTTTCCTTGGGATTCTTAGAAGTGTGCAAGGGATTACATCAAGGTAGTTTTTCTCTGAATCCAGTCCTGTCCCCTGCTGTTTATGGATGATTGGTTCTAGGACATAGGCACACAGTAAATAAAAAAGTAAATTACTTATTTACAATGTAATTTAAAAAGGGAGGGGGCCCAAGTGGTGGTGGAAAAACATGCCTTTTATTGAAGTGCTTGGGAGGCAGGGGCAGGTAGATCTCTGAGTTCCAGGACAGCCATGGCTACACAGTGCTGAATGCTCTCCCAGGATACTGCTATTTTGGCATGGGGGCAGATCCTATGCAGACCCTAGTTTCAGGACAGAATAATGCTATGTCCTAACGTCTCTGTGTTATTAGGGATGGCAGGATCTGCAGGGACCTTTGGCCCATCTGAACATCTGTAATGGGGCAGTTTGATGATTCTTAGTGGCGTTTTGGGGTTCCAGGTGCTAGTGGCATCTTAGTGGGTACATGCATGTGACAGAGATTCACACTGTTGCATGAGTTCTTGGGGAGGTGGGGACAAACATCTGTTCACCGCAGATAGGAAGACAGACCAAAGAAATGAGTCCATTTAAGTCCAGCTGGGAAAGCCAGAGACTTATTGGGGTTCCTTACAAGAGCACACATGGCTCAGGAAGCTACTGAAGATTCTCCCCTCACAGTTGTTCCTGATTTCCAAGTTTAGATTTCCAAGTTCTGACTCTAGCAGCCTGCTCCCTTCAGGACAGGAGTGGTGGCATTACAAACTGTTAGTGTACTTTTTTAACTATTTTATTTATGTTTCTTAATCCTCTTCCTCCCTTCTCTATCCTAACCCTTCCAGCACACCAATAGGTGGGAGTGAGGGGGTAGAGTTTCTTTACTTCTTCCTGCTGGGTAGAGTCCGTGGGCTCCTTGGGGGAAGTCCAATCCTCAGTTCAGGAGATCTCCAGCTTTTTCTCACCCAGTTGGTCAGCAGCAACCAGGAGCATCAGGGAAGAGCACCAGCAGCCTTCTTTTTTCTTGGAGCTCTCTTTCTCTCTCTGGTCCCTGACATTATTCCCTCTCTAGAGTCCTCAGATTTAAACTGTCTGCAGCTGGCAAAGGGTTCCTCTCAGAGCCTGCACCAGACAAATAGTTTGCTGCTGTTGACACTCTGAATCAGTCCCATTTATATCCACAACAAACAAACAACCCTACATAACACACCATACTACAAGCAACAATAGTCTCAGAGGGGAAGGAGTGCTTGTCCTCCATGCATGAGCCCCTGGTTTCACCCCCAGCAATACAAACAGACATGCATGGATATATGGCTGGGTGGGTGGGACTCTGTTCTCAGTGTGCACAGGGGGAGGCTGAGCTCTGTGGGAGCTCTGAGCTTGTGTTGTGCACCTACAGCAGGAACAACAAGCTGCTTCCACACACTGCTTTAAGCAGACCCCCTTAGCTGTTCAGAATGTGATGGGTCTCGGGTCACAGAGTGCTAAGGCTTTGTCTGGTCTAGATGTGCAGAGGCTCTGGACAACCTACAGGGTGCTGTACATGTGCGCCCTTGAGGAGGCCTCAAGGCCCCCAGCTGCCATCCAGCCCTTGAGGGCCTCTTCCCAGCACAGGTTCTTACTGCTTTCCTGCTTGACCCAGGGCTTGCTTTTGAAACGGTATCATTGTGCAGCCCTGGCTGGTCAGGAACTCTGTGTAGACCAGGCTAGTCTTGAACTTGTGAAAATTTCCCTGTGTCTTGCTCCTGAGTACTGGGATTAAAGGCACGAGCCACCTGGATTCTACTTAGGTTTTACAGCATGCCCTGTAATTCCTGTTTGTTCACTCTTCCTGTGAATCTGCAGAGTTTGATGTAGGCCTAGGTGTAGATGCTAGCATCAGCTTAGCTGTTCTTTCAAAGTGTCAAGGCTGAGAAGAACACCTAGCCCTCCACCATCACAGAAGAACACCTGGTCCTCCATCACAAAACATCTGTTCCTCCACCATCACAGAAGAATACCTGGTTCTCCACCATTACAGGCTTGTTTGTGAAATTTCCCTTCAGGCTATCACACAGAAGCCACTTATCATCCTAGTCCTCTGTCACTGTAATCGAATGCTATAGACTGCTTTGTTTGTTATCTATTTATTTATTGGTTTTCCAAGACAGGGTTTCTCTGTGTAGCCCTGGCTATCCTGGAACTCTCTTTGTAGACCAGGCTGACCTTGAACTCAGAGATCCTCCTGCCTCTGCCTCCTGAGTGCTCTGCCTCCTGAGTGCCTGGCTAAGAATGCATAATTTTTAAAGAATACGGGCTACAAGCTGAGCTCAGAGATGCAAGCATATCATCCTATCACTTGGGAGGCTGAGGCAGGAGGATTGTTGCTAACTCCAGGCAACAGAGTGAGGACCCATCTCAAAACAAACAGCAGGTTCTGGAGAGATGGCTGAGAGGGTAAAAGTGATTTGCTATCTAAGTGTGAAGAACTGAGTTTGAATCCCCAGCATCCATGTGAAAAGCTGGGTGAGGCTTCACATTCCCATAATCCCAGTGTGACAGCCATGCTGTCAGATCTCAGGCAGGCTGGGCACATGGGGACATTTTTTAGACACACATTTGAACTTGCTTTTTAAAAAAAAAAAAAAAAAAATTTGTGGTTGTTGTTGGAAATGGGCAGTTGTAGTACATGCCATTAATCCCATTAATCCCAGCAGTTGGGAGGCAGTGTCAAGTGGATCTCTGTGAGTTCAAGGTCAGCCTGGTCTACAGAACAAATTCCAGGACATCAAATGCTATACAAAGAAACCCTGTCTTCAGGGAGAGGGCCCAGATTGTTGGTCTGCAGAGATGGCTCAGCAGTTAAGAGCACTGGCTGCTTTTGCAGAAGATCCAGGTTCAATTCCTAGCACCTGTGTGGCAACTAACAAGCATCTTTTAATACCAATTTCATGGACTCTAAGGCTTTATTCTTGTCTCCATAGGTACACAAGGTACACAGTGCAAACAAATTACCCACATACATTAAAAAAAAATTAGTAGCAAGAGAGGCCTTAAATTTTTGTTTTTGAATGTATGTATGTGTATGTGTCTGTATATATAAGCACAGCACATACATGTGCACATATGGGGATCAGAGGATTGCATCACGTAGGTCCCAGGGATTAAACTCAGGGCTCTCAGACTTGGCAGCAAGCACTCGTACCCACTGAGCCATCTCTCCTGCCCTGTGCCTCACCTCTTACCCGAGCCACTGAGTACATAGCTCCAGGCTAGCTCTGGGGACAAGAATGCGGTGCCCACAAGGAGTTCTATGGCCAGTGTAGAGGCCATGGAGACTCCAGGCTGGGATCTGAAGCTCTGTCTTTGTCCCCTCAGGCTTTTGGAAACGCCAAGACGGCCCACAACAACAACTCTAGCCGTTTCGGGAAGTTCATCCAAGTCAACTACCTGGAGAGTGGCATCGTGAGGGGGTAGGTCACTCTGTTTGTACGCCCCACAAGCTGAGGCTGGAACCTAGGGCTCCCTGTGAGCTTAGCTAGTGCTCTACCCCAGAGTACACCCCATCAGAGTGTGCTGTTGAGGGTTTCAAGTCTGTACAGTGAGGAGCTTCTGTGGTGGCCTTGACTCAGAACTGGCCACACCATACATCCTGCTTGCTTTCCTTTGTAAGATTTCAGTGAGGTTTCTAGGGAGTCACAGGCAGAATGGGTTTGTACTCCAGCATCAACCAGATGTGAGCCTCTTACCCAGAGACAGAGCTGAATAGCAGTGTGATTCAGTGGTCCAGGGAAATACTGAAGGGCAAGCAGTATCTGAGCAGAGGTGGAACAGTAGATTTATGCCTTGAGGGATACATGTGTGGGTGGCTGGATTTATGCATAGATTTTGTGTATAGGCAAATGGCAGCTTTGATGCTTGAATGGATTCCTGGGTGGATGGATAGATTGAGGGTTTGTGGGCAAGTTAGTAAATGGATGCATGTGTGAATGATGGGTGGGTGGGAGGGTGGGTGATTGATGGGTGAGTGGATGGGTTGATAGATTTGTGGATGGATATGTTGAGGGTTTTGTGGGTAGTTAATGAATGGGTGGGTAGTTTGGTAGGTAGGTAGGTAGGTTGGGAAATTTGTGGACAGATTGATAGATCTTGTATGAAGGAGGTGGAGTTGATTAATGGGTGGGCAGTCAGACCTTCAGGTGGGTGTTAATCTTGGTCTACAGGGAGCATTGGTGAGTGAGCACATTGAAGAGTGAGTGGATGAAGAAATGAGGAGAGAGCAGTGGCACATGCTTGTAATCCCAGCACTCAGGGAGGCAGATGCAGGGAGATCTCTGTGAGTTCCAGAACAGCCTGATCTATAAAGCAAGTCCAGGACAGCCAAGGCTACACAAAGAAACCCTGTCTCAACTCTCCCCCCCACCTTATCCCCCAAAAATGAGCATATTAGTGGATAGGTGGATATGTGCACAGATGGATTCATGGTTGGGCAGATAGATTTGTGGGTGGGTGAAGGGAGCTGAGTAGAGTGACAGGTTGGGTAGATGAGTAGGTGACTGGGTAAGTGCATGGCTCAGTGATGGATGGATCTATTGGTAGACAGAAGGTCCATGCCTCGGTGGATGAGTAAACAGGCAGGACCTGTGGGGCAGCGGTCATAGGTGGGCTGAGCACCAGATCTTGACAGGATGTGAGGCAGGGGTAGAGATGACCTTCTGGTGAACCTGCAGCCTAGTCAGTCATAGGCATGCACCACAAGGCAGCAGATGCACCATGAGCTTCTGCAGCACAATGAGGTTTTCCACAGTCCCAGGATTCAGAGTCCTTGTTGAATGTCAGGTCACCTCTGGACACTTGTGACTGTACATTCTCTGCTTGGCCTCAGCCCCCACATGCCTGTCTAAGGTTCAGCTGTAGTATGAGTTCTGCCACCTGAGCTGGGTGCCATGTACCCAGTTGGCACACATTCTTCATCGGGACATCTGGATCGTGGGCTAAGCAAATCTCTCTCTCCAGGTATTGAGAGTCTCAATTCTTGTGGGCCTTGGGGCCAACACTGCAGTACAGTGACAGATGATCTGGTAAACAAGATAACTAACAGGAGGGTAGCATATACAGGAGGAGTCAGGACCTGGAAGGGCAGTGAGGATGGCATGGAGTTCATCCTACTTTTGAAATGCCATATGACTTCAGACTTACAACATTTATTTTTGGAATTTTATACTTCTTATTTTCCAAGTTTAGGTAACTAAACTACTAAAACAAAACATGAAGCCAGATAAATAAGTTCTTGGTTAGGGCATGTGCACGTTCTGTCAGGTACTGCTGGCTCCTACCTAGTGGCACAGCCTCCCCACTGCAGGCGCCTAGCAAGTTCAGGGCTGATGGTGGCTAAATCTCTAGATCACTTTTCTCTTTGGGGTCCAGAAGGCTGCCCTTTTGCTAGCTCGTACCCCTGCTGTGTTCCAGTGTTAGTCTCAGGTTTAAGAAAGGGATTCCCATGTTGATCAGTAAGCATGTTTCCAGCTTAGCTTTCTGGCCTTGGGGTCTGCCACGGCCTCCCATTTGCCCACTTGTGTTGGCCATTTTTTTGTTGCTGTTTCTTCACAAAGACAAGGGTCAGGGCGCATCTGACCATGGCCCAAGTTCCCTATTTTTCAGGCTTCAGTTCCCTGTGTGTGTAGTTCGGCTCAGAGGGGTCCTCTGCTCTCATGAGATTCCCTTTTTGGCTTCAGACCTTTAAAACCAAAAATTAGGGGCTGGCAGTTCTTAGAGAGGACCCTAGTTACATTTCTAGCATCCACTGCAGCTTATAACTGGCTGTGACTCTAGTTCCAGGGATCCGAGGCTCTCTTCTGGCCTCCATGGGTACTTCATGTGATGCATAGACACACATGCAGGCAAAACACTGATACACATTAAAAGAAAACTAAATTCAGAATCTAAAAAGCTGGGGGTTATTGTCTGGAATGGAGTCCATGCCTAAAGTCTAAAAAGAAATGATCAAAGACTGGGGCTGGAGAGCTGGCCAGCCATTTTCCAGCAAGCGATAGCCTGGATCCACACAATTTGGCTGCCTTCTGTTGTGGTAGGGAGATCTCCTACCCTGCATGGGAGGACAGAGTTGGATATTCAATACAGGAGTCTGGCCCTAGGAACATGAACTTAGGACAGGCTGAGGCCTGAAGGAAGTGTTTGTGTGACCCAGCACTAAGGAGACAGAGGCAATGGGATTTTAAGTTCCAGGAAAATCTATGGTGTGATTGTACCTGTTTAGAGAGAGAGAGAGAGAGAATGAGAAGAAGGAGGAGGAGAAGAAGAAGACTTTTCTCTTATTCAGCTTTATTTAAAATCATTTTTGAATTTATTTGTGTGTGGGCATTTTGCCTGCACACACGTCTGTACACCTTGTGTGTGTATGTGTATGTTGCTCAGCGAGGCCAGTAAGAGGGTATTGGATCTCCAGAAGCTTGGACTGACAGACAGTTGTGGGTGCTGGGAATGGAACCCAGGTCCTCTGTAAGAGCAGCTGCTCTTAAGTGCCCAGCCATCTCTGCGGCCTGTTCTCTTATTTTAAAGGAACCAAGAGTTGGGCAGTGCCCTAGGAACCTGCCCTGCGTGCTGAATCTCCCTGCAGGCCAGCAGGCTTATTGCACTGTTCTACAGAAGCAGGCAGATCTCACAAGAATTTAGAGCCAGCCTGGTCTACTTATTGAGTTCCAGGCCAGTCAGGACCACACAATGAGACCATGGTCTCACAGCAACAGAAAATAAATTAAATTAGAAGGCAAGATCAGGTTCACAAACTCTCACAGGTGGGGCCCTGCCAGCCCCAGTGGATGTGGAGGGAGCTGTCAAGGCTCTCCTTCCTTCCCATAGGGTCCTGTAGGGACCTCAGCTCCATTTGTGTCAGCAGGAGCTGTGATACTCACCCTAGTGTGAGGGATTGTCTGAAATGCCTTGGATGATTCCTGGAATACCACAGGTCCTAAGGAAATGTACACTGTCGTCGCTCCTGCTGCTCAGGCATCAAAGATGTTCCAGGTTCTCAAAGTCAGCAAACAGCACAGCTGGAAGATGCTGTGCCTACACTTCGAGGGGCATGCCCCACTCAAAACTAAAAATGTCCTATGACCTGAGAGGCCCTGGGGGTGACTAAGGTACCAAAATGCTGTGTGGTATGAACACTGGGACTCGAATCCCCAGAACACTCATGTAAGCTAAGCAGATGAGCACAGCAGCCACCTGTCATCCCAGGCAGAGAGGATGGGCCCAAGAGCAAACCAGCCAACTAGAATGGCCAAAAGGGGGAACTCAGTGCTCAGCAAGATTCTACCTCAGTCGGGAAGGTGTAAACTGATCCAGAAAGACTTGAGGCCTCCACATGTACCCACATACACACATGTAAACACACACACACACAGTTTGTGCCATGTGTGGGAAGGTGTGTGTGTGAGTGTGTGGGTGTGCGGGTGGGTGCTACATGTAACTGCCTGCCTGCACTGGATTCTGTCCCCACATTTTACTACATGCATGCCGATACTCCAGTCACTGGAAAGATGGGGAGACAGCTCAGCAGTGCTGAGCCCCAGCTGCTCCTTCAGAGGACCTGAGAGTATTGGTTTTCAGCACCCACATGGCAGCTCACAACCACTGTAAGTGTAGTTCTAGGAGACAAGGCACCCTCTGCTGGCTTCCTAGGTCACCTAACATATATAGATACACACAGGATTTAAAATGAAAATGAAATATTAAAGTAAATACTTGGAAAACTTCAAAATAGTTGTGGTCCCTAGTGTTTGGAGATGAAGGACATTGCAGTCCTGGTTGCTCCGCATACCTTATGGAGGAAACAGTAGCTCCAGAAACCCAGGTTGTATGGATACAGCCAGGAACCTGCGGATCTGAGACCCCTGTGCTTCAGCACAGGTGAAAGTGGAGGCAGCCAGGTTCAGTAAGCAGAGTGCTGGCCATGCCAGCCTGACAATCAGAGTTCCACACCCAAGAAACCCCAGGGTGGCGTGCATCTATCTTCCCAGCACTTCTATCAAGAGAGGTGGGATGAGAGATCACACAACCAACCAGAAACTGTGAGCCACGCAGCTTGGAGAGTACAGTAACACAAACAGGAGTCCAGTTATCTGTAGCTGTCACCTGACATCCAGGAGTCAACCTGAGAGGAAAGCCTAGATCAGACTGGATCTGGGACTGTAGGCTTGCCTTTGATTTCCTCCCTGGGGTGCTTTTGGTCAGAGTGTTTTTACCATAGCACTCTAGGACAGATATTCTGACTCAGCAAGGTTGAAGGAGACAAGGAATTTTTAAGTATTGTTTTTTAACATCTTCCATGCATGCTGTGGCACATATACTCTCAGACCCTAAACAGACAAATAATTTATCAAGTGAGAGGGATGGAGTTCAGCTCAGCCATAGAGTACCTGAGTAGTAAGTGCAAGTAATGTCTTGTGCCTTCATATATAATGAACATTTATAGCTCAATAATAGGACCAACAATAAGAAAATAGGGAAAGACTTAAAACACAAGGCCCTGCCCAGCTGTGGCACACACCTTTAATCCCAGCACTCAGGAAGCAGAAGCAGGTAGATCTCTTAGTTTGAGGTCAGTCTGGTCTACAGAGTGAGCTCCAGGACAGCCAGGACCATACAGAGAAACCTTGTCTTAGAAAACCAAACGCCCCTCAAAAAAGAAAGAAATTAAAAAAGAGAAGAAAAAAAATCCACACAGACCAGAACAGCTCAGAGTACTTAACACATGTGAGGCCCAGGCTTCTGCACCAGGAAAAAGAAACAGATTGAACTGTGCATTTCACATTTTTAAAATTTATTTGAGTGTGTATACATACAGACATGTTTATGTGCAGGTGGTCAGAAGGGGACAGCCTTCTGAAATTGGTTTTCTTCTTCCCCCTGTGGGCCCCAGGCACCAAACTGAGGGTCAGACATGGCAGCCACTGCCTTTACCTGCTGAGTTACCTCATGAACCCAAGGTGTACCTTAAATATTAGCTGTGTATTGTCGGGCTGTTGGTAAGCAGTCAGGCATGAAAAACATTGCATTGATTTTCAGATCATTGGTGCTTACAGTGAAGTTCCGAGTCAGAAACATGTGAAACATCTCCAGCAACCCTCTGCAATTGAGGAAGTATTCCCTTTCTGAGGTCATCATTGGTGTCCTCCCTAAATGTACAGGTCCCTTCACCTGCCTGGGGTTGGTCTGCCTGTCAGGTTCCTGGGTACCATGCTCTGGCTGCTAGAGAACACAATGCTCAGCAGACTTCTTGCTTCTTAAAGTCAGAGTGCTGGTGATCTTCAGGGCCTTTGCTCATTCACATGTTACCAAAACGTACTAATGTGCTACAGGCAGCACCACAGTGCCACTTGCTAGGACAGAGCAGAGATACGGCTTAGGGACATAGCCCCATTGGGAGGGAGCCTGGCTCCCTAGCAAGCACGAGGCCCTGGGTTCCACCCTGAGCACTACAGAGAGACCCTGTGCATGGTGAATGCCTGTTAGCCTAGCACACAGATGGAGTGGTTGGGGAGAAGCAGGAGTTTATGGCCAACCTCAGCTACACAGTGACACCCTGTCTCACATTCCAGAAGAGCCTGGTCTCAGCTCAGCAGAGAGCGTGTAGTTACATGTGTACCCGAGTTCTGTCCCAGCACTGTGCAAGCCAGGTGGAAGTTGGAATGGGCCTGTTGGTCATTCCAACGCTCAGAAGATGCAAGGAGGGATCAGGAGTTCATAAGAGTCTCCTTGAAATTTATGGTTCTTGGTTCCTTCCTCAACTATAGCTGAAACAAAAAACTCAAAGAAGAAATATCAATTCTAAAGAGTGATATCTTATTTTTCCATTTTTTTCTTTTATGACAGAGCCGTTGTGGAAAAATACCTACTTGAAAAGTCTCGCCTGGTTTCCCAAGAGAAGGATGAGCGGTGGGGCATGATTCTTTTTTTAAGTGTATGAGTGTTTGCCTGTGTGTTTGTGAGTAAACTATGTGTGCTTGGTACCCAGGGAGGTCAAAAGAGGGCACTGGCACCCCTGGAACTGGAGTTAGAGAGGACTGTTAGCCAGCATGTGGTGCTGGGAGCTAATGTGGGTCCTGTGCAGGAACAGCTGACTCTGCAGCTCCCAGGGGGCAGTACTTGGCTGAGCACAGCCCTGCTGAAGCTCTGGCCCACACAGGGTGAGATCAGTGTTGTAGGTGGGTAGTTGCACAACCAGGCTGTTCAGTGTCGGTTGGAAGTGTGTAACACTCAGAACCAGCATAACTGCACATTCTGTGAACCAGCACTTTCGGTGCTGAGGCAGGAGGATGTTGGGTTCCAGGCCAGTCTAGACATCATAGAACAAATCTGTATCAGCAAGTGAATGAGACTTCTGTCCCCGCCTCTACTCCATTCACCTGAGAAATTCTTTTTCTAATAGTATTCTCTGTGTAGTCCTGGCTGTCCCGGAACTTACTCTGTAGACCAGGCTGGCCTCAGACTCACAGATCCTCCTGCCTCTGCCTCTGTCTTCTGAGTGCTGAGGTTTAAGATATACACCACCACACTAGCCTAGAGGGTTTTTTTTTTAGATTTGTTTTTTTCACTGTGTGTACACGTGTGGTCAAAAGACAACTTTGGAGAATCAGTTACCGCTCTCTACCAAGTGTGTCCCAGGGATTGAACTCAGGTCTGCTGATTGGCAGCAGGTGCCTTCAACCAGTGAGCATCCCACCCACCCTGTAATATGTCTAATGTGCCCTTTCCTCTGTGTGGGCCTGGCCGGGCACTGACTCCTCTGCTGGTCACCCACAGGAACTACCACGTGTTTTATTATCTGCTGCTGGGTGTCAGTGAGGAGGAGCGCCAGGAATTCCAGCTGAAGCAGCCGCAAGACTATTTCTACCTCAATCAGGTAAACAGCTGCAGCCATGGCGCCACCTCTGTGCCCAAGGCTGTCTGTCACAGGGAGGTCAGAGTCTGCAAGCCTGGCCCTGCTGGGCCCTCAGCTCAACCCTGAGCACATACACAAAGGCCACCATTTATTCCCAGCCCTGGCCTTCCTCCTGTCCAGCCTGAATCACCCTGCTCACTGCCTGAATGCCCACGCCTTTGTTTTTTCAGCATAACTTGAATATTGAAGATGGAGAAGACCTCAAACATGACTTTGAAAGGCTTCAGCAGGCCATGGAGATGGTGGGCTTCCTACCTGCCACCAAGAAACAGTAAGTGGGCTGCTGAGCCAGCAGGCGTCGACCAGCTCCTCTTGAGAGCTGGTCTGGGTCAAGGCCAGCCTGATCTCCTTAGAGAATTCAAGGCCAGCCAGAGCTAAACAAGAAAGACCCTGTCAATTAGCAAAAACAGAGAAGCAAAAAAGTGAAAGCGTGTTTGCATGGTGGAGTAGATCTGCACTCTCAGTGCTTGGGAGGATGAGGCTAGCGTGGGATACATAGCTTGAGCTCACACCCTATCTCTAAAACCATCAAAGCTGGAGCACAGTTGGTAGCAGTTGTGAACCCCAGGTTCTGTCCGAGCACCACCTGAGCTAATTGTGATGTCCAGCTGTCAGCAGCACCTGGGAGTGGGCACAGGAGGTGTGTGGCAGAGAGCATCCTCAGCCTAGCATGAGACACAGCAGCAGAAACAAGTTCAGGTGGTGCAGGCTGTAGTAACCTCCCTCTCTGCCCCAGGGTCTTCTCCGTCCTCTCAGCCATCCTGTACCTGGGCAACGTGACTTATAAGAAGAGAGCTACAGGCCGGGATGAAGGCTTGGAGGTCGGGCCCCCTGAGGTGTTGGACACCCTGTCCCAGCTCCTGAAGGTACTGCCTGTCTCTACCATTTTTCCTGGCCTTTGTTTCCTGGCCTCACGATACATCAGCCTGCCTAACCCAAGAGAGCAGCAGCCTCTCAGTACAGGGAACAAGTGGGGAGTTCTTTCTGCTGCCTGCTTCCTCCTATCATCTCTGGGATGTCCCCTTCCTGCTGCCAGTGTCTATGTCTGATCACTCTGTGGAGTAGGAGAGGTGTTGGGTATTAAGGTTCCTTACCACATCCACCTGTGACTGCAGCTGCAGGGCACTGGAAGCCACCGCCCTCCATGGTCTCCTTTACTCATGTGCACATGTCAACACACAGGCATACACACACACACACACACACACACACACACACACACACACACACACACTCTTAAGTGTAAAGAAAGGAAACCATCCATGGTTTGCCAGACTGGGGGCTGCAGCTCTGTCAGAGGGCATTTCAACTGTGCACAAAGTCAGCTGTTGCATCCCAGCACCACACAGACCTGACATTGGTGGCACATGATTGTAATCCCAGCACTCAGGAGGTAAAGGCAAGGAAGTTCAGGGCCAGCCTGGGCTATATTAAGACCTGCTGGATGTGGTGTTGCACACCTGTAATCCCTGGGAGGCAGAGGCAGCCGGATCTCTGTGAGTTCGAGGCCAGCCCGGTTTACAAAGTTAGTCCAGGACAGCCAGGGCTACACAGAGAAACCCTGTCTCAAAAAAATAAATAAATAAATAAATAAATAAAAATAAAAAATAAAATAAAATGGCCCTGTCTCTAAAAAAACACAAATTGGGAACTGTAGAGCCTCTTCCAAAAGACATGGGTTTGGATCTCAGAACCACACAACAGCTCACAACTCCCTGTAACTGCAGTCCCAGTAATCCTACAGGCTCTTCTGGCAGCCTCTGGTATAAGGCATGCATGTGGTACACAGACTTTCAGACAAGACATCTGTGCTTGAAATTCTTTTTAATAATTAAATTTAAATCATAGTTTGGGGTTAGGTGTGGTGGCACAGCCCTGTCATCCTGACCACACCGAGACTGAGGCCGTAGATCTCTAAGTTCAAGGCCTGTCTGGGTGATCAGCCCCCAGTGAGATCGACCCCCAACTCAAAAAAAGTGCATGATGGGCTGTGGATGTGGCCAATGACGGATTCCGGGTCCCTCTTGCTGTACCAGACGCATAAGCCCGCATGTGCAGATGCAGCTAGGTCATGGTTTGAAGGCATGCTCTCACTCCCTGTGGCATCTGTCTCTGCTGGTTCTAAAGTGGGTAGAGGCCAAAGATTCTGTTCATCTAACTGGGGGGCACTACTGACACCTGGTGGCAGAAGGTGGAAATGCCTCCTAGAACATTGAAGCACTGCTGGGGTTGAATTGCGCGGGCTGGATGAATTTTGAATCTTGTCCTGCAGAGCAAGGCCTCACTCTGCTTACCTTTCTGTTTTCTTTATTTTGGGGGATAGAATCTCACTCTGGCTGGCCAAGAACTCAGAGATGGCCTGCCTCTGCCTCCTGAGTTCAGGGATTAACTGTGCCATCATGCCTGACCTTCTGGGTTTTGCTTTAAGTTTTATATTGCTTTTTTAGTTTTTATTTTATTTTATTTACTTCTTATTTTTGAGACAGGGTCTCACTATGTAGCCTGGCTGGCCTGAAACTCACTGTGTAGACCAGGTTGGCCTTGAACTCACAGAGATCCGCCTGCCTCTGCCTCCCTGGTTCTAGAATTAAGATTAAGCCACCACAGTTTAGGAGGTGGTTGTTTTGTTTCTTAAGATTTTTTACTTTATGTATGTCATGTGCTTATGCATGCAGTGCCTGTGGAGACCAGAAGAGGGCACTAGGTGTTGGGTGGCCTCTGGGGTCCATCCTGCCCTTCCCTAGCTCCCCAGGCCTGTCCTCCATGATGCAGAAGCCCCAGCAAGTGCCTAACCTTCCTGCCCTTCCCCCACCACCCTGGAAATAGGTAAAGCGGGAGACCCTGGTGGAGGTCCTGACCAAAAGAAAAACAGTGACGGTCAATGATAAGCTCATCCTGCCTTACAGCCTCAGTGAGGTAAGTGAGTCTGGGCTGGGGCTACAGCCCTGCAGAGCCAGAGCTCAGATGTGGCAGGCCTGCTTCCTGTGTCTCTGCTTCTCATGGGACCTGCCATACAGCACAGAGCCCCACGTGGACAATCCCTTCCTCTGCACACACTGGAGAGCTTGATGTATGTGTTGGGCACAGTACAGAGTCAGCAGTAGTACCTCTTAGAACAGTAGAAATGACAGCACACTGGCCCAGTTACACGGGCGTGGCCTCCTGGCTCAAAACAGAGAAGTGCGCTGTTCACCTCTTCACTTACAGGAGTCCTTCGCGAGTCATGTCAGCTGCTGGCAGCAGCTGCTTTCTGTCTGTCTTCCTTCCTTTCTTTTTATAAGAGTGTTTTACTCCATAGCCTAGGTGGGCCTTAAACTGGGGACAACCCAACTGCCTCCATGATGACCAGTGCTTGCCACTTGCCTTGTCCAGGCCATCATGAGGTAGAATTACTCTTCCTTGAATGCAGGCAGGCATTACAGTCCAGGCTAGTCATTGATGACTGAGTGACTTACAGGCAGGTAGCATATAACACCATGCATCGAGGCTGCATCATAAGTTCTCGGGGGTTTTTAAGGTATTGAGTTGTTAATTTCTGGAATTTTCTGACCATATTTGGCTCTAATACCTGAAACTATAAATAAGTGAGTATTGCATGGCTCAGAGCCAGAACTGGAAACTGAGGCATTCCCTTCTGTGTTCCTAGATGCTCAGTGACCACACCAGTCCATCGTGATTTGGGACAAATCTGGCCCCCCAGTTGGTTTTGTAAATAAAGTTTCACTTACATCCTGTTCAGTGCTCTTCTAGCTGATGTTACAATGCTAATAACCTGCAATAGAGCCCCTCGGGCCCCAGGAGCTGAACATATCAACCCCTTTCCTTGTTCTGGAAAGAGGTGACTGGCCCCTGTGCTCAAAATGACATTTCTGTGACCTTTAACCCATAGGTTTCAGCGCCATCTTCACCATTTACTGATGTGTTACATTTCCTTTAGCTCTTGATATGTCCAGAGCAGGGTGGCTTGCAGATTGAATTTGGATTGCGCCAGGATAGTAGGGTGTGGGGGCTCCCTATGGAGACCTTCCCCAGGGGAATCAGCTTACATTTCCAGCAGGCCCATGGACAGTGCGCTTTTGTGAGCTCCTTTTGATATGATTTGACATCTTTGCAGTGCACCTGATCCCTGTGTAGCTCAGGTGTCCCCAAGAGACACTGTGTGAGCGAGCATCCCTGGAAGAGATGGTGTTCTGTGTGGTAACGTTGCCATGACATCCAGGAAAGTCAAAACCAGAGGGACACTTCTGGTAGCTAAAGGCTGGAGGAGGATGGAATAGACACTCCTCACTGGGTTGTGCTGAGAAGCACTTCCTCAGTTGTTCTAAGTTGCACGCCATGCTGCATTGCCATTCTGTGCTGGAGGCCCGGGCTCTGAGCCTCAGTGGCAGCTGTGACCCAGAGCCAATGTTCCTACAAGCAGACTTACACACGAGGAAAGTGAAAACCCTAGCTGAGGGCTAGGGATGGCACAGTCCTAACATGTGCCTTAGATTCAGAACCTCATAACACCTGAGACAAGCCTTACGCTTGGCCACATGGCAAGTTCCAGGCCAGCCTGGACTACGTGAGACTTTCTGCAGATAAGAAAACTAGAGCAGTTCTCTGACTCCCAGCACCACAGCCCACACCATCACCCCAGGTGAGACACCCCTCTGTCCACAGGCCATAACTGCCCGGGACTCCATGGCCAAGTCCCTGTACAGCGCCCTGTTTGACTGGATCGTGCTGAGGATCAACCACGCCCTCCTCAACAAGAAGGACATGGAAGAGGCTGTTTCTGTGAGTGCCCAGGTCAAGAACTGGCAAGAACAGGCCCCATCCTTGGGACAGCTAGGAAACTGTGCAGTCTCTGCATCAGGGCTGGCAGAGGACCTTTTACCCTCTACAGCAGTGGTTCCTGACCTGGGGGTCGCATATCAGGTATCCTGCATATCAGATATTTACGTTTTTATTCGAACCAGAAAAAAATTGCAGTTACGAAGTAGTAATGAAAAGAATTTTATGGTTGGGGGTCACATCTCAGTATGAGGAACTGCATTAAAGTTCTGCATCATTAGGAAGATTGAGAAACAATGTTCTTCAGGAACCTAGGCATCTGCACTTGGTGTCTGCAGGACGCAGGTGAGGGTGCAGAATACCACAAGTGTGATGGGCAAACCTTCACCACCAGCCCTGCCCAGCATGTAGGCACCAGGCCTTAGGCTCCTTCCCAGTGGTTATTGTGCATGTGGAGGCCTGGTTCCATCTATAAGTAATAAAGGTCCCATTGGCAAAAAATGCCAAGCTATGGCAGCTGTGGCCAGCTGACTTCAGGACAACACCTCTCCACTCATGCAGCAAGCTCTTGTCAGGAAGGTCAGCTTTCCCCGGAGGCACTGGCTGTAATCCCACCTTGTCTTCCCAGTGCTTGTCCATTGGCGTCCTAGACATCTTCGGGTTTGAAGACTTTGAACGGAATAGCTTTGAGCAGTTCTGCATCAACTATGCCAATGAGCAGCTGCAGTACTACTTCACGCAGCACATCTTCAAGCTGGAGCAGGTGAGCGTGAGCATCTGCTGTGGACCTAAAGGCAAGCTGTGCCCCTCAATGTCAGCAGGGTATGCTCTGTCCCTGTACTGCATGGCACACTCAGCCCTCCTGGGGTTGTTTGGCCCTTCCAGATGCGGATGCTGTTGCAGCAAGGCAGCATTGTGCCTGTTGTGTCACACCATCTGTGTGTTCTCTAAAGGTGCTCAGAGCACCCTTTGTCTGTTCCTCCTGCTGTGGCAGCCTCTCTGAGGAGGCAGAGCCCACAGGTGTGGGGAGGCAGTTTCATGCACATTCTACAACTGCATCTGGCTCATCTGAGGCCCCATCTCAGTTACACACCTACAGCCCACCTGTGAACACCGGAGACCTTCTTCCTGCTTTGTGTCTCTGTATTTTGGTGACACTGCAACCCTCAGTCAGTGGAGTCATACAGTGTTTGCCTCTTCACTCCTGGCCTGTGTGACTTGGGAGAATGGCCTCCATTCTCATCCTTGTTCAAATGTCAGCACTCCACTCCCATCAAAGGCTTGGCAGTGTTGAGTTGATGCAGTCACCCGTGACTTCTGTAAACACACACATAGTTTACAGTCCTCTTGGACATGCGCTTTGGTTCTTGTGAGTCACACCCGAGGGGAGAATTGCTGGGGTCTGCCATCCTCCCTGAACTGTCTGAGAGACCACCCTTTCATCCACAGTTTACAGGGAACCATCTCTCTGTTGTCCATGCAGCCTGAGAGGATCAGCGGGGTTAGCTAGCCCTGGACTCTAGCTTGGGCCACAACACCCTGGCAAACTAGCCCTAGAGTTTTTCTGCATCAGAGGGAAAGTTGAGGACTCCAGCCTGGCCTGTGTCCAGGCATATACCAGCTGGTTTGCTCAAATATAGAAAATTCCTCCTTGCCTGTTTTGAGACAGGGCTTTATGCAGCCCAGGCTGTCTTTGATCTCACCACTAGCAACATGACCATGAACTCCTGGTCCTCCTGAGTGCTGGGACAACAGGTGTGCGCCATCCCCAGAAGAGTGAGCAGAGCCAGTCTGCAGCCAGTGATGCTGACTTAGGTGGTGTCTGCCGTGCTGATGGCTCTGCTCTCTTGGGAGCTATTCTTCCTCCCTCTGACTCACGGGGAAACCGGGCTGGAGTTCTGCAGATGTTTGGCTTAGTTTGTAGTCACAAGCTAGGGCTGTCCAGCTTTGGATGTGACTGCTTCAGCTGGGTGGCAGAGAGATGAGAGAGTGCCATGCTGCGGAGAGTAGCCCTGGGGAAAAAGAACAAAATGTCTAAATAATTTCTCATGTGGATTGTGTTTACATAATCACTTTGGGATGTGAATATTTATTTTCTGTCACTATAACATAATCCCCAAGGCAGAGAATTTTAGAAAGAAGGAGTTTACTTAGCTCACCATTTTGGAGGCTATAGCAGGTAAGGTTCAAACAAGAAAGCAAGTGACAGGAGAAAACAGAGCAGAGCTAGTGTGGCAGGCACACCTGTCACGAAGCACTGAGGAGGCCAGGTGAGCAGGAATTCATCCTTGGCTATGTAGTGAGCTCCAGATCAGGCTAGGCTACATAAGGAGTCACAGGCACTGCTTTGGTCAGCGCACATGAGTGGGTGTGCTTATGCGGAAGTGTTTCCCCGTATGGTCAGCGAATGTGAAGAGGTGTGCTTATGCGGAAGTGTGTTCCCGTACGGTCAGCGAATGTGAAGAGGTGTGCTTACTCGGAAGTGTGTCCCCGTATGGTCAGCGCTACTTATTCAGGAGCCGTGAATAAGTCCAATGATATTTTTATGTTTTAAGTTTGTATCTGTGTGCATGGAAATCCATGTGTACAAGCCAGAGAACAGCTTGCCCCAGTGGATTCTCTGCTACCATGTGGTCCTGAGGATGGAGTTGACAGCAAACCCCTTTAACTATAGAGCCATCTTGCTCCATGCCAGCCAGCTCTTTTCTCAAATTACATATAGTGAGTGTTTAGACTTGTTCTTTTCATGATTCCCTCAGCAATATAACAGCATGGATTGTAAGTCATGTAGATGTCAGGAGAGCTAGGGGCGTGGCTTAGGGGGATAGCCCCTGCCTAGGATCCCCCAGTGAGGAAATAGGGTGTGGTCAGGGGTGGAGCGCCTGCTGAGCTTGTGCAAGGCTCTCAGTCAACCCCACTGTGTGCAGGGAGCCCCCTTTCTGAATCCTTTAATCTTCCTCATCCCACAGGAGGAGTACCAGGGTGAGGGCATCTCATGGCACAACATCGACTACACTGACAATGTGGGTTGTATCCACCTCATCAGCAAGAAGCCCACTGGCCTCTTCTACCTGCTGGATGAGGAGAGCAAGTGAGTGTCCCTGTCACTCTGTCCTACCACATGCCAATGTGGAGACCAAACCAGGTTCCCTGAACTGCTCCGATTCTCACATGTGTTTGCCCAGTCCCTGGGCATTGCTTCTGCCCAGTGCTTGCTCAGCCTTCTCTGGAAGCAGCAGATTGTAGCTTACCTGTGCTGAGCATATCTTCACTGGATGCTCAGCACAGGTGACTCATGTCCCAGGAGCAGAGCCAGCAGTGGGTGCCCTGTGGGAAGGATGGGAGGCGTCTTAGTCACCCAGCTGTCCTTGCAGAAATCCAATGGCTTTGAGTTGGTTGCTATGGCTGTGGTGACAAGTTTCTGTCATGGTCTTGGAGACCATACACTCCAAAACAAGAACTGTCAGAGTTTTAGTGCCCCACTCTGGAAACACCAGAAGAACTTCCCTGTCTATGGTGCTGTGCCTGTGCTGAGGCAGGAGGCTGCTCACCATATAGAGGCCAAGAAGCAGAAAGGCCTCTATTGGTGGAGCTCCTCCTCTGTGCCCAGAGCCCTGGGTTTCATCCCCAGCACCACATAATGTACCTGTAGGTCTAGCACTTGGGAGATGGAGGCAGAAGGATCAGGAGTCCAAGATCATTTTTGGATACATAGCAAGTTCAAGGTCAGCTTGGACTACCTGAGACTGTCTCAAAAACAGAAGCAGAGAGAAGGGGTAGAGTCCCAGAATCTTCCGCAGCTCTTCATCCCTGGCATCCTGACATCCTCCCATAAGGCCCAGCTCCTGAGGGTCCCAGTACCTTGCTGTAGACCTAGTACCTCAGTCCAAGTCCCCTCCCAGTGAAGCAGAGCAGCAGAGGAGAAAAGGGCCAGGAGAGCCAGGGCTTGACTGACAGCCACAGCAGCCTATGTCTGTCTGCAGCACCTGAAGAAAACAGCAAGGGGCTGGGGTGGGGGTAGGGGATTTTGACCACCTGCTGCAGGCAGGTTAACTGGGCAATCACAGGTCAGGCTGTTTGACAATTTATTATTAGGTGTAGTGTGTGGTTGTTGTTGGGTGATGGGTGTACACTGTGCAGGCAGAAGTCAAGACAAAACTTGGTTGGGTTGTTTCTCTCCTTCAAACATGTTCCTGGGAATGGAACTCACATCATCAAGGTTGGCCACAAGCACCCTCATGCCCTGAGCTGTCTGTCTCACTGCCTCTGATTGGAGTTTTCCGAAACAGCCGCGTTAATTTATCGCTGCAACCTTTCTTATTTCCTATTTTTGGTGCCCAAGACAGTGAGCGCTGCACCTCCCAGACCATCTTCCCCGCCCTCAGTGCTTATCTTTCTCCTGCTGCACAGAACTCCTTCCTCAAGAAACTGTGCAGCCCAGTATGGGCATCTGGCACATACCTGGCACTGCCTGTGTTTACAGTGAAGCTGGGACCAGCAGGATATGCCAAAACCTAAGGAGGCATTTCTCTCCCCAGGGGCAAAAATAGCCAAGTATAAGGAGCCTCTTGCTCCACCGTCTGCCTCCTTCCCAGGGCAGGACAGAGCCTGGCTTCATCTACTAAGCCATGCTCACACATGTGTGGGGATCAGGACCTTAGGCCACAGCTCTGGGTTTCTCTAGGTACACATGGATCCAAAGCTAGAGGCCACTGCAGTGTAGGATCTAAGACACCACCAGGCCCATGCCCTGGAAATCGACAGAAGCAAGCAATTCTGGTTAGCTGTGGAGGGGAGCAGAGACAACATTGGTCCCCCTGTGCTGTCTGTTAATCCTGTGGTCCCACACTTGCCACATGGATGTGCTCAGTACGTGGTGAGAAACTGCCAAATGGGCCAGCTAGGTAGCTCAGTCAGTTAAAGCTGACTGCCAGAAAGCCTGGTGATCTGAGTTCAATCCCCAAGGTCCACATGGTAAATGGAGAAAACCAACTCTTGCAGGCTGTCTGGCCTCTATTCGCACACCACGTAAAGAAATCGGTAAGGGGGTGTTGGCACTCATTCTGTTCCTTCCAATCCTCCGTTCATCCTCTGCCTACACTGCCTGGCATCAGCCTCCCCTCATAGCTTAGCTTAGGTACCCAGTGCATTCCCACTTTGTACTAAGTGTGGATTCTTTTTTTTTTTTTTTCCTTTTTCTTTTTTTAATTTTTGAGACAGGGTTTCTCTGTGTAGCCTTGGCTGTCTTGGACTCACTTTGTAGATCAGGCTGGCCTCAAACTCACAAAGATCAGCCTGCCTCTGCCTCCCTGAGTGCTAGCATTAAAGGCGTGTGCCATAGCACTCTGCTCCCAGTGTAGATTCTTGGCTGAGTATGTCTACCCTGTCCCTGCAGCTTTCCCCATGCCACCAGCCACACCTTGCTGGCCAAGTTCAAGCAGCAGCACGAGGACAATAAGTACTTCCTGGGCACACCAGTCCTGGAGCCCGCCTTCATCATCCAGCACTTTGCAGGCAGAGTGAAATACCAGATCAAGGTAAGCACAGCCTGCACTCACACTCCCCTCTTTGCTATTCCTCAGTTGAGACAACTTGTCCTGGGGGTGCTTGAACTCATCCCAAACCTCAGTGTCAGTCAAGCCAAGGTTGCAGAGTGTTACTGGAGTCTAACGGTACCACTAGTTAGGTATCAGCCCTTTTCCATCCTGCTTCTGGGCCATCTATGGGCTCTGAGAGGTGACCAGCCACTCCCACCTCACCAGGACTTCCGGGAGAAGAACATGGACTACATGCGGCCCGACATCGTGGCACTACTGAGGGGCAGTGACAGCTCCTATGTGCGCCAGCTCATTGGCATGGACCCAGTAGCTGTGTTCCGCTGGGCTGTGCTTCGGGCCGCCATCAGGGCCATGGCTGTTCTGCGGGAGGCTGGGCGTCTGCGTGCGGAGAGAGCTGAGAAGGCAGCAGGTAGGGACTGAAGGACTGCCCTCTTTGGTGCCAACTGTGGGAGCAAGCAGCATGGTTGACAAGCAGTTATGGCTCATCCTAAAGCTGGGCATGGCTGCTTGGGGGCCAGTAAGGAAAGTCATGACTTGGGTCCAGACTGAGAAAATTAATGAGAATCTGTCTCCAGCACTGAAGAGGGTTGAGGTGCAGTTCAGCAAGTAATGTCCCTGCATAGAACTCCCCAGTGATAGGCTGGGGACATGGCTAGGATTGTAGGCAGTGGAGCTCCTGCCTAGAATCTCCCAGTGAGGGGGTGGGGCCCCTGCCTAGAATTCCCCAGTGAGGGGTTGTAGAGTGTTTGCATAGCACAGGAAAGATCTTGGGTTCAATTCCATTTTTCTCAAAAAAAAAAAAAAAAGAATCAAATGCTTATTCCATATAAGTCAACAACCTTTGTTCTGTAGGGGACCCTGTCAGACAATGTCCACTCTGTCCCCAGCAGGTATAAGTAGCCCTGGCACTCGAAGTCACATGGAAGAGCTACCAAGAGGAGCCAACACCCCTTCAGAAAAACTGTACCGGTGAGCGAGACTTCAGTATGTTCTGCCCGTGTCCCTATGGGTGCTATTGTTTCCACTGTTGTGGAACCCTGTACTGTCAGCCAGGGTCCTTGCAGCCCTAAGTAAGCCTTTAAGTGGCTGAATGAACTCAGAAGACCCAGAACAGAAATGCCCTTGCTTGGGGCCTTTCTGCACCCAAAAAGGCAGGTCCTGGGATGACATCTGCTTTGGGAAGGAGCACACAGGTCAGCACAGAGAATGGTTTTTAGTCCTCTGGCCTGAGGGAACCTAGAGGCCTTTGAAGCTTCAGAGTGACACGCTGATGAGAGTCCCCCAGCCTGAGGATGGCTTCTCTTGCGAGGCCCGAGTTCTGTTTCCAGGCCTGAGAAGCGCAGGGATAATTCCTCCCTCATCGTAGTCTGCACAGCATAGTACCTTCTGCTACATTTTTTTTCAGTCATGGGAGAGGCATTTTGTGAGTCTGGGCAGTGACCCAAGTCCTCCCTTTGGCTCCAGGAGGATATAAAAGTGGCTGGGTTGGCAGAGCTCGCAGCCGATTTGGAGACTGAAGAGGAAGAATTAAAAGAGCAAACCTGGCCTGGGCTGCAGAGTGAGGCTGTGCTGGCCATAAAGGTTGGAGGTGTGCGTCTATGTTGTGGCCTTGCACTAGTGAGCCTCTGGGGTCAGTTTCCTGCACGTCACTTGACATGTGACAGGTCAGCTGCCAGAGGAAATTCAAAGTGAGGAAAGCCATGTCTCAGTGGCTGCAGAGCCAGGCAGGCCCCTTGGACATGGAAACTGTCAAGATGGGTATGATTGTACACACCTGTCTTCCTAGCTGAGCGATTGTGACTGAGTCCATCTGGGCTGCTGAGTAGGGAGGGCCCTAAGCCAAATCAGGAGCTAATTGTCCACAGGGGCCAAGTGAGGAGATGCCTCCGCTCTGCACACGGCTGTCCCCCAATGAATGGCCCATGCGTAGCCAAGCCGAGCCATGTCAGTGCTTTGTGTCCGCTGGCTTCACTGAGCTTCTCCCTTGCAGCTGCACAGGGCTAGATTTCTCCTTTGAGCGCTCTGAGGAGTTGGATGTTAACGCTTTTGAAGACATCATGGCTTTCTATGAGAGCAGGAAGTAAGTAGCAGGCAGACCTTCGCACCTAAGACCAGGGAGGCACAGGCCAGCCATTTGAGAGCTCAGAGCAGTGTCCTTCCTGGGGACACACTGCCACATTTGGCCAGGTCAAGGCATATATGGGGTGGGTAGAAGCCACTGCTCTGAGTGCTCTAGACAGGAATGCTGCATAGAAAGTAAAGGGACCATTAACCCTGTGTCACCCGTGTCATTTTTACTCTTGTGCCTCCCTGGAGGGCGAGGGAGTGGAGGTAAGTATGGCATCTATCCAGGCACGAGGCATGGTGCATGTATCACAGTATGGGGCTGCACACAGGGCTCCTTCAGGCCAACTTTCAGAGCCTAAACATGCTTAGAGTAACTGGAGTGAGGCTGGCAAGATTGTCCAATGTATCCACCAGGCCTGCCCACCTCAGGTTGAACCTTAGAATCCACATGGAGGACAGAACCAACCCCCGCAAGTTGTCCTCTGACCTTTGCACACTTGTCCTCAGACACACACACATGCATTCGCACACACAGTTATACGCACCCTCAGACACAGGTAAGTTCATCTACACACAAACACACATGCACCCTTAGACTCACATATCTATGCATCCACAAATACACACATGCACCCTTAGACACATACACACATGCTTGTATCCACACAAACACCTAAAGACTCAATAACAAATGAGCACCAGGACCCACCTTAGTGTCAGAGCAGCTGACGTGGCTCTGTGTTCTTGCAGAGACCCAGCTGCCAGCGCTCCTTGGGCCAGCGCAGCCACTTGTAATTCCAGTGCCAAAAATTCTGACATCCTCTTCTGGCCTTCATGGTCACTGTGCTCATAGCACAACCCCACACACACCTACATGCTTGGGCACATAGTTAAAATAAAGGTTTTAGAGGTTGACCCTCTTAAGGTGGGGCCTTAGCCTCAGCCGTGTGGTAGATTGCTCTTGAAGTGGACTCACCTGTGTACCAAAGGATGGTGGGTAGTTCCCTGGCTGCCGTTTGCCCAGTACCAGAAGTGCCAAACCCTAGGAAGAACAATCAGGTGTCCCCAATGTCTGGACATGGGCTAGAAGGAGGCAGCGTGACCACCATCTGAGAAATATCAGACAGCAGACAATGAGGGGTTTATGGGCACCGGGGCGGGTCAGGTGTGGGCCATGCACTGCAGACACACCTGATTTATACAAATCACACAGGCGTGTACATACAAGAGCCCACCTGGCAGAACAGCTCAGGTGGAAAGGTCATTTGCTGCTACTCCTGATGTTTTTTAGTTTGCTCTCCACGTCCCCACATAGTAGAAGGAAAGCTGCTGTTCAGAGTTGTCTGACCTCCATAGGCTTTGGCATGTCTCCCAAGATGGAAATAAAAGCCACTTAAAAATAGAAGACTCCAGCCCTCACTCAGGAGATGGCCCTGCAGTTGACAGTGTTCGTTGCTGGACCAGAATCCAGATCCCAGCGCCCACATGAGCTCTTCACAAATATTGTCACTTCAGGTCTAAGGCACCCAGAACCCCCACTGGCCTCTAGAGCATCTGCATACACTCTCACTCATATACATACACGTGTGCACGCACACGGATAAGTAAAATTATTCAGAAAAAAGCTGGGCAGGCAGGTACCAATTCTATGGGTTCAAGGCAAGCCTGTTACAAGACCATGAGCTCAGGAACAGTAGCTGTTCCTGGCCCACTCAGGAAGGACATGGTGGTCGCCCAACCCATGCGCCCCTTCCTCAAATGCATGTTTTGTCTCCTGTGGCCTGGGGACACCCTGATGAGCATTGGGAGCCCCAGGTGGTGGGCCACGCCTAACTGTTTTCTCTGTCACCGGGTCCCCTTCTGGCCCCCAGCGATTTGCATAACCAAATCATCAAGAGCCTCAAAGGACTGCCATGGCAGGGCGAGGACCCGCGGAGGCTTCTCCAGTCCCTCAGTCGACTCCAGAAGCCCCGCACCTTCTTCCTGTGAGTTGCCCAGCTCCTCCAAGTGCAGCAGCCACCGTGCCACCCATCCCCCAGCTGTCACCAGCCTAGCTAGCTGCTTCTCCCCCACATGATTGGCCACTAACACTCCTTCACCCCATCCCCAGCTCTGCCTCACAGCTGAGCTCTGTGCCAGCCATTGCTGACAGGTCCTAATGTCCTCCCTGAGCTGAGCAGTGCCCCTTGGTGAGGCTATCTGTGCTGTGGTCCTAGCCAGGTCCTCTCCATCCTGGCAGCTGGTGGATCGCAAGTTTCAGCTGCCTGGCTTGCCTGCTGGGACCTTGCTGTGAAGCCCGTGGAAGTAAGGAACATATAAAGCCAAGGACTAGTTCATAGGCCTGGACCCCACCACACCCCTGCCCACATTTCACTGAACCCTTGGGGTTCAGCATTTCTCTGAAAAATGGGATGATAATGCCTTACTTTTTGGGACTTCTCCCCAACCCCGCCCTGGGTCTCACCATGTTGTCCACGCTGGCCTTCAACCTCTGGGCTCAAGGGTCCTCCTCCAGGTGAAGAGGTTTCTCAGCACTTGAGAAGGCTTGCTGCTCTTGCAGTGGATGCAGTGCAGTCCTAGCGTCCATGCTGAGGAACTCACAAACTCTGCTTGAGGATGCCCTCTTCTAGCCTCCATGGGCACTGCACACATGTGCATACACATTGATGCACTTTAAAAAAGTCTTCAAAGAATCCTCCTGCCTCAGCTCTGGGAGCAGCTAGGGCTCTAGGCATGTGCCACCGTATCCAAAGTGACTTGCATGTGTTTCTCTATTGCTTTCTTTCAACCGAAATTGAGATGCAGTTGAGGGCTGGAGTGTGGTTCACACAGAGCCACATGGGTTTAGCATTCATGGCCTTGAGGCGTGGAAGCACACCGAAGCTTGTGGCCACGTGTATATTGATCAGGGTTATTGTGTGCTGTAGTTTTTCATGTCACACCCAGGCACTGTGGCACTTGCCCAAGCATACACCCAGCATGAAAGAGGCGAAGGCAGGAGGATTGTGAGTTTGACGTTAACCTATCTCAATTGGCGGAGGGGGGTGCAGGAGAAGTGTTACATGCCCGTCATCCCAGCACTGGGATAGTGGAGGGAGGAGGATCAAGAGTTCAGGGTTATCCTCAGCTGCATAACACATACAGGCCAGCCTGGGCTACATGAGACCCTCTGTCTAAAAACAATCCCACTGTGAGACCACTAGCAAGGACCATGGATCTGCCTTCCAGTTTTCCTTTCCACTGTCAGAAATCGCAGAGCTGGGGCATGGCTCAGATGCAGGGCACCTTCTCAGTATGCAGAAGGTCCTGGGCTACGTCAAGCAGAGCAAACTAGTAATGAGTGCTGTGAGGAAAACCTAGTGAGGTGCCACCCAGGCCTTGCTGTTCTTTGCATGGCTAGCCTTTGCCCCACTAGTGGAGAGTAGGGTCAGTGTGTCAGGGCACCGTAGGGCTCCGGTGCTATGTGCACGGCTGCTGGTTCACTTCATCACTGCTGCTTATAGCCCCTGGAGCCAGCACATTCTGCACCCTCAGATGTGGCAGATTCTGAGGTGTGGAAGGCAGGAGCCTGCGGGTGTCTGGGGGGTTGGTGGCGACCTTGCTGCACTTGTCCTCTGTCTTCCTGGATCTAACTTGCAAGGCGTGGCTTGCTGAACTAACACAACCCCCAGCCCTGTGTCCCTCGCATTCACACCGTTTTTAATATTTTGACAGGAAGAGTAAAGGTATCAAACAAAAGCAGATCATTCCCAAGGTAAACCCGCATGCGCAGATGATGCCATCACAGTGGCTTGAGAGCACCTTTCTCAAGCTGTTCTGAGACAGGGAGGTGGGAGAGAGATTCTGGGACCTCTTTTGTTCCTTCTCACTCCTCCAACTAACTCTCTCTCTGATACGAAGCTGTACTAGGGGTGTAACTCAGGGTGGAGCCCCTGCCTAGAATCCCCCAGTGAGGGGTCAGGCATGGCTCAGGGTTGGAGCCCTTGCCCAAAATCCTAAGTGAGGAACTGAGGTGGAACCCCTGCCTAGCCTTTATGAGCCCCTGTGTTCCCATTACTGACATCAGACTCCTTCCCCGCTGTGACCTTGCACTTTATCTTGGGGTTTCTTCAGGGTTGGACCACAGTGGGATACCTTGCCTAAGAGGAGCTGAGACCCTCAGGAAGCTATAAAGCAAGGAGAGAAGTAGCCAGGCTCCATGCCCTCCATGCATCTCAAACCTGCTATTCTAGTGATACAGCTAAACCCCTGCGGTGGTCCTCACCCCAGAGCCGGTGCTTCCCACAAGCCACTGGCTAGTCCTCAGAAGCAGCTGAAATTCTTGACTTTTCTTAAGCATTCTGAAACATTTGCATACATATAGTGAGATGTTGGGATAGCAAGCAATTTATGTATGGAGCGTGTTTCCTTTTCACCATAAACTCATAGTCTGAAAGTAATCTGATATAATATCACAAATAATCATGTGTGCGTGTGAGTTAAAAGTTCCATGCCCATGCCGGACAGTGGTGGCTCACGCCTGTAATCCCAGAACTTGGGAGGCAGAGGCAGGTAGATCTCTGTGAGTTCAAGGCTAGCCTGGTCCTACTGAGCGAGTTCCAGGACAGCCACGGCTACAGAGAGAAACACTTTCTTGGGGAAAAAAAAATTCCATACCCAAAACACTATCATATAGGATCTCACAAGATGTCTCAGAGATTAAAGTATTTGCTGCCAAGCCTATCTGACTGAGTTCGATCCCCAGAACCCACAGATGGAAGGAGGGAACCAATTAACCAATTCCTGCAAGCTCTCCCCTGATTTCTCCACACATACAATAAAGTTTTTGAAGTATAAGATTGGCTATGTATCATGATGCATGCCTGTATTCCTCTAGGGAGCTATAAGGCAGGGGACTTGTTAGTTGCAGGCCAGGCTACAGAGCAAAACTGTCCCATAAATGAAACGTAAAATCCAAGCATGGTGAGATGGGTTTGTCCTCACAGCAGTTGGGAGCTGGAGATAGCTGAGGAGGTTGAGGTCACCCTGGCCTACATGAGCCTTGAAAGCATGTTGGTTTATGCCCTGGGAGCTGCATAGCTTCTGGTATCACATATGCTGCCTCCTGTTTGTCACCAGCTCTGGCTGCCATGTGAAGTCTCATGCACTCATGAGCTCATGCCACTCCTGCCATAGGCAGGAAAGACTTGAGCCCTGGCCCCTGTCCTGAGGGTGAGGGATGTGGAGGGGAAGGTGTGGCAGGTAGCCTGTACCTGGGCCATGCTCCTCCTGGGAGCCAGCATCCCCTGTAGGCTGTGGAGAGCAGGCCCAACTCTGTGTATCTGTCCTAGAACCTGCTGGATTCCAAGTCCCTGAGGTTCATCATCAGCATGACACTACACGACCGAACCACCAAGTCTCTGCTGCATCTGCACAAGAAGAAGAAGCCGCCCAGCATCAGTGCACAGTTCCAGGTAGGTATGGCCGACTCTGTGGTCTCCAAGTGGATGCTATCCCACGCCTCAAAATGTGCTCACAGGGCTCTGGCATTACTTAGGAGCCCTAAATACAAAATTATTACTGTTTGAAAACCACCAAGCTAAAAAAAAAAAGTCATTAGTTAGCAAGTCAGTTACCATGGCTCTTGAGCCATATTCTGAGGTCATAATTCTCTTTTCTTTCCCTGGCTTCCAGGAAGCTCAGAGACATTTTTGTTGTTGTTTGTTTGTTTGTTAAGACAGGGTCTCATGTCCTCCAGCTTGCCCTCAGATAGTCACTAATGCTCCTACCTTACTCACCCAAGTGTGAGCATAATCTGGCACCAGGGGTAGAACCCAGAGCCTCTCTCACAGATCTGTGGGGCTGAGGGTAGAGCTCAGGGTAAAGTGTGCAAGGACTGGGCTCACCCCCGAGCCCTGCAGAAACAGAAAGGAAAAGGAGGGAGACAGTAGCCACCTCCACACTCCCTGCCAAGGCTGACACACTGAGGTCTCGACTCTACTGCTCTTGTAAAATGGCAGCTGTGTGGTCTTCAGCCATGGGGACCCGCACAGCTGGGGCAGCAGAGCCTTTGGTTGGTTCCATGCAGCAGTGGTGTGCTGGTCCTCCTCCCAATTGTGCCTCACAGCTGGTCAGCAATTCCACATGCATTCCCTCCTCCAGACATCTCTTAACAAACTGTTGGAGGCGCTGGGCAAGGCTGAGCCCTTCTTCATCCGCTGCATCCGCTCCAATGCCGAGAAGGTAAGTGAGGGACAGTATGTGCAGGACCCTGTAGACCCCAAAGACTAGTGAGGCACAGGCTTCAGCCCTAGTCTGGGGGCTAAAAGAGGCACAGGTACACACCTGCCATAGCGCTGAGGGTCCAAAGTTGAAGGTCATCCTTGGTTACATAGAGTATAGGGTAGACTAGGCTACATGAGATTGTGCCTCAGGAAAAAAAAAAAAAAAAAGGTTGGGACAGAAAAGCTTTACCCTCCAGGGATAGCCAGCTGCTGAGCTAGGGTATAGGGGAGACGGACAGCCCCAATGTTGTCCCACAGAGCCCTGAGCACTTCCTTTGCAGAAGGAACTTTGTTTTGATGACGAGCTGGTTCTGCAGCAGCTGCGCTATACGGGCATGCTGGAGACCGTGCGCATCCGGCGCTCTGGCTACAGCGCCAAGTACACCTTCCAGGTAGGCCGCCCACCTGCCCCCTCTGCCCTGCCGAGCAGGCCTCCTCAGGAAGCCTGGCTTCCACAGCCAAGCCTGGAAAGATTTGTGAGCCGATACCAATCCTGAAAGTCACAAGCAGGTGCCTTGGCTGAACATCTTCTAGCCTGATGTGTGGGTTTACTTGTTCACATTAATTTTTTTTATATGTGGGTGCACACATACATGTGTCACAGCACATTTATGTAGATCAGAGGACAACTTGCAGGGTTCGGCCCTGTCCTCCCACCACAAGGGTCTTGGATCTTGAGATCAGGTTGTTAGCCTTGGCCACCAGCACTTTATCTGCTGAGCCCTACCATGTCTGCCCCAGTGACAGCAGCTGTAACAACGTTGTCGTGTTCCATGGTGTCCAAGATCAGGCAGGGTCCTCCCTGGGACTCCATGTACGTAAAACACATATGTTAGCTTGATGTGACAGCTCATATCTTTCATCTCAGCTTTCAAGAAAGGCAGGAAGGAGCCTCACTCTGAGTTCCAGGCTTGCCTGAGATACGGAATGGGACTATCAAGGCGAAACAAAAAGATGCAGTGGCGTGGGTCAGTGGATGAGTGAGGTGTGTGCACATGTATGTGCGTGTGTGAGTGTCTGCGTGTGCGCACGTGCACATGAGCATGTGCGTGTGTGTGTCACCTCCACCATTACAGTGGGTAAGTGCTGAGCCCTCAAAGCCTTGGCTCCTCTGCAAGTCCATCCTCAGAAAGCCGAGACGGGATCCCCGAGCAAGCCAGCTATGGAGGATCTGTGAGCTCTGGATTTGACTGAGTGGCCCTGCCTCAAAGAATAAAGCAGAAAAGCCATGGACAGCGGTTCCCTGCGGCAGCCTTGAGTCTGCAGACTCACATGGCTACATACCCACATGCTACATACCCACATGATACACACACAAAAAGAGAAGAACGTGAGGAACTTCCCTGCTGTGTGTCTCCACTGGCTTGAGAGCATTTAGAGCTCTGTCATAGTCCTCCTCCTGCTGTGACAAATGCCATGACCAAGCATACAAAAGCCTGTTGAGCTGGGCTTAGGGCCAGAGCAACAGTAGTCTGTAGGGGTAGAAAGAAAATGTGTATTCAGGAATATAGCACACTTGAGGGCTTCTGAGCCCACTCCCATGACACACCCCTACAACAAGGCCACACCTCCTACTCTGGGGTCCAAGTGTTGAAACATAGGAACCTGTGGGGCCATTCTCACTCAGATCACACATGCTACTCTTTCACATCTTGTACCCCACTGTTACACCCAAGTCTGCTGTGGTCACTTTGCACAACTTCCAGTGAATAACAGCCACAGAAAAACAACTTTTGAGAGCTGAACAGATGGTTCAGCAGTGAAGAGTGCAGATTGGGCTAGCAGAGAACCTGATTTGGGTCCACACACACATATGGTAGCTCACAGCTGCCTGTAACATTAGTTCCGGGGCTCTGACACCCTCTCCTGACCTCCATGAGCACTGTACTCACGTACATGTGTATGCTTGGGAACACACACGGCACATATATACATGTAATTAAAAATCCTCAACAGAAAGAAAACCAAGTTTGAGCTTCATGGGGTAGGGCTGAGCATACCTGGGGCCCAGGTCTACCCCAGCTGTGCCAACTGCACGTGGTCTCTTAGCAGCACACACAAGAGAAAGACCTGGTTGGCCTTGCGAGTGAAGTAGCTGCCGCTGCTGAGGCGCTTACACTGTTCTTCCTACCACATGGCAGGACTTCACGGAGCAGTTCCAGGTGCTGCTGCCCAAGGACGTCCAGCCCTGCAGGGAGGCCATCGCTGCCCTGCTGGGAAAGCTGCAGGTGGATGGCCGGAACTACCAGATCGGGAGGACGAAGGTGAGCACTGCCACTCCAGACCCACTCCACCACGCAAGACCCCATGCTTCCCACGGATTCCGGTTCTGCAGTGCAGCTCATTTTCTGACACCGGACTGAGGACCAAGGCTGGTACTAAGCACAGAGGTTTCGTCACCCCTTGTCTGGGAGCTGGAGAACAGGACACCACTTCCTTTCTGGTTTCAGTTAACATCAAAAGATGGGGACAAGTGGGAAGGATCACATGACAAGACAGGGCACAGGGAGAAGGCTAGGGGCCGGACCAGCTCTTCCAGACCTACTTAATCTTTAGAGCACTGGCAAGTCCCATGAGCACCACATTTAATTACTTTCACTGAGGTACCAGTGGAGGTGACATCTCCTTCCACTGGGTTCCACCTCTTGAAGGTCCCTTGGCTCAGTGTTACCACATTGACCCAAGCTTCCAGAACAAGAATGTTGAGAGCTGAGCCACACCCATACCACAGATTGACATGAGACCAGCTCCTTCCAAATACCGTCTCCAGCCTCAGAGAGTGTTGCTGGCTGTATCTTCTACCAGCAACTATATCTGACAGCTGCAGTCAGGTCCCTGACAGTCCCAGTTCCACTCTTCGGCCCAAGAGAACTGAGATGTTCTCAGAAACACTTGCAGCCCATGTTCTCACTAGTCACAACCATCAGAAAGTGAACACAGCCCAAATGTCCATCAGAGTGGGCAAGCAGAATGTGGCCTATTCACAGAAAGGAACAAAACTCTGACATACTACAGCATGAACTAGGACATATTGAGAGATAGAAGCCATGCAGAGAAGGCCGTTTGCTGTGTGATCCCTTTGACATGAAATGTCAGGACTAGCACATACCTGTCACCGCAGCATTTGAACAGTTAAGACTGTGTTCTTGGCCAGCCTGGGTTATATAGCAAGGCTTGTCTCAAAATAACAAAAAGAAAGAAGGCTGTGGAGATGCCTCAGTAAGTGCTTATAGGCACTCATGCAAGAATGAGGGCCTGAGTTTGGAATCTCCAGCTCCCACTTAAAAAAATGGGTGGGGTGGCACATGTTTGTAATCCTAGTGGAGCCAAGACAAGAGCCAAATCAGTGGCCCCCAGGTTCAGTGAGAGGTCTTGTCTCAAAACAAAAGATGTGGAAGCCACCTGGTGTTAGCTTCTGGCCTGTGAGTGCACGGTGGTGAATTCTACTTCCAGATATTAAAAAATTCCTCTCTGTGCTAGTGAACACTCAGGAAGATCAGGCTACATGGTGAGTTTGTGGCCAGCCTGGGCTACACAAGAACGTATTTGGCAAAAGCAACATATTCTCAGGCCACTGAAACTACAGCTATAGCTCCTGACTTGGGGGGCTGCATGGCTCCTCCTGCATGGGCTCTGCAGGCATGCCACCATAGTCCCTGTCCCTGCCCACAGGTCTTCCTGAAGGAGACAGAGCGGCAGGCCCTGCAGGAGAGGCTGCATGGTGAGGTCCTTCGCAGGATCCTGCTGCTGCAGAGCTGGTTCCGTATGGTGCTGGAACGCAGACACTTTTTGCAGATGAAGAATGCTGCCCTAGCCATCCAGGCCTGCTGGCGGTCTTACTGTGTACGCCGGGCGCTGGAGAGGATGCAGGCTGCTGTGTACCTGCAGGCCACCTGGAGGGGCTACGTGCAGCGGCAGGCCTACCACCGCCAGAGGCATAGCATCATCCGCCTCCAGAGCCTGTGCCGTGGCCACCTGCAGCGCAGGAGGTGAGGGGAACAGGGCTTTCTACCCTGGAGCATTCTAGAAGCCCAGAGGTTCACTCACTGAAGAGCTGACCTAGATCACTAGCACCCAGCCAGTAGAACTTTGTACCTCAGTCAGGGTGGTGGGAAGTAGGGAAGACCTGGCCACAAATAAGCATTTGCAGGCACAAGAGGGAGAAGGCTGCTTCCTCCACCTGCCACCCAGAACAGGTGATTCAGGCCTGGTGGAGAGGCAGCTGCAACCAACTCAAAATACCTCTCCTGTCCAAACATCCAGCCCTGCAGGTGGGGAGACCACCACTACCCAGGAGGATGCTGCCTAGATCACAGGCAGCCCTCATTGCACAAGTCACACAAGTGCTCACATCTGACAGTGTCACCTATTTCTTCCCACTAGCTTTAGCCGGATGGTGTCAGCGAAGCAGAAGGCAGAGGAGCGAGCCAGGGAAGCTGCAGGAGCAGACACATCAGAGGGTGGGCTAAGTCCTATGGCTGCCGGGGAGCAGCTGTCTGAGCAGCCTGTGGAGCAGACCGAGGACCCTGAGAGTCTGCCTGTGGAGGCTGAAACCTGGATAAATGACAGGTCCCCGGTTGGTATGTCCCCACCTAAGAAGGAGGCACCCAGCCTGGAGAAGGGGTACCCAGCCCAAGAAACCGCGACAACCGGAAGTCCTGAGAAAGTCCCCAGCAGCCGGGAGAAGCGGGAATCACGGCGGCAGCGAGGATTGGAGCACGTTGAGCTACAGAACAAACACATCCAGTCCTGCCAGGAGGAGAGCAGCACCCCCAGAGAACCTTCCAGAAGGGCCAGCCTGGAAACAGAGGAGAGCTTCCCTGAGGACACAAAGGGACCCAGGGAGGATAGACTGCCCTTGGTGCCATGGACTGAGTCCACAGCCCCCTCTCCGTTAAAGCAGGTGCAGGTTATGGGAGCCCCACCTGGAAGCTCTGGTCCCAGTCCTGTGCAGAGGCCCACCAGCCTGACCCTAGACAGTAGGGTCAGCCCTATGATCTCCATCAGCACCCCTGAATCTCCCAAGGATAAGGGCAAGGGTGCAAATAACCCCAAGGCTCAGGACAAGCCCGAGAGTCCCGGTGGCTCCACCCAGATCCAACGATACCAACACCCAGACACAGAACGCCTGGCCACAGCTGTGGAGATATGGCGAGGCAAGAAGCTGGTGGCCACTGCTGGCACCAGTGGCATGCTGAGCCAATCCCTGGACCTGAGTGAGAAGCACCGGGCTGCAGGGGCAGCCCTGACTCCCACAGAGTAAGCCTACCCACCATGAAGGGCTGAGGGCACCAGGGGTTGGCAGCACCGGCTCAGTGCCCCAGGGCTATAAACATGTGACCATGCTTGCCAGGTAGGGATGTGGCCCACAGAATGGAAACCAGAGAGCAGGAGAGGCTTGGGGCCTAGGCCAGAGTGAAGTTTGACCACGAGCTTGCTGAGCATGCACTAGGCCCTGGCCATCCCCAGCACTGCAAATGGTGCTCCTGTTAGACATATTGTATGAAGGTTCTCCTTCCCTCCCTGGTCCCTGGGACTCAGTTTCCCTTTCTGTGACTGGGGCTCACTCACAGAATTTTACCCTAAGAAAGAAGGGGCATGGCTACCTCCACCTGTGTGAGCTGATGTCTCAGGGAATACATCTCTAGCCCCTGGAGCCTGTGGATGGGCTGAAGGAAGGGAGTGTGGAGTCGGAAGCAGGCCAAACAGGATCTCAAACAGGGTTGAAGCTGGGAGTTGTCTGTGGATCAGAATATTGAATGCTATCACCAGCCCCTCCCATCTCATGCTAGTAGCCTGACTGGCAGTGGTAGGTGGGTCTGGCAGATGAATAGGTAAATAGATTACAAATGAGAGACAGAAAGATGAGTGGACTAATGGGTAGGTAGATGGCAGATGAAAAAACAGGTTGATTAGAGATGGACAGGTCCCTAGGTGATGGATACGTGGGTGGGCAGCTGACGGGTGGCACAAGGGATAGCTGAAGGAGCAGTGGATAGCTCTCCTACGTGTCTGCGAGTATCTACTGGGTGGGTGAGAGTAGCCTCACCTGAGTGAGAGTCGCTGCGTTGAG